GAAGAAGAAGAAGAAGAAGAAGACAGACAGACAGACAGACAGATGTGGTTATATTTAAATGACAGGCCAGAGTTGAGCTTGCAGTTTGTCAACCTAATTGTGTAAATCGTAACCACATAGCTTAGTAAATATGCATTTTGGTCAACGTCCAAAATCGGGCTACGTCCTTCGGCCATTTGATTAGTTACTACGGATCCTCTATTAAATTTTCAATATGAGTTCACGTTATCTATTGAATGCTGTTGAGAACCCGATTTACGTATACATATTTACGTCCTAGTCGTACATAATTCGATAGTATATTAATATGCAGTTTTCCATTATCAAACAAATGTTCCTTTTCACGTTAGTTCTTTCGTTCATGAAGGCATCAGTGTACCGCACATTTAATACTACTCTTGCTACCTCCGTAAATGCGTTCGGTGAACTTTCATCATGTCTACTCTTCTTGCTTCAAATAGTTAACGTAATTTTTTCGATAGTTAACCAATATCACTTGCCAATTTTAGGCCTGTTTTTTGTGTTCCTCGCCCTTTAATCAGGGGTCAAGCATAGTGGTAGGATTGGGTTTGATCATTTGACCTGTCTTAGGACCACCAAGCTCCTTTACAAATGTCGCTAATCGTCACGCATGGAGAGGTATCGTCCGTGATATCATTAAGGCCGACTAGATCAGGCATGCTCACAGCCGTATCAAGTACAATTAAGTAAGTTAGTGGGCGCGCTCTTTCGATAATCAAAACTACCGTGGGCTGGTCGACTGCGAACTCAACAACTGTACAATTACAAATCTTCAATTCATTGTGTTATTTCCTAGAGGATGAGGTTCGACTTGGCTGTGTGATCACCCCTAATAAAGATTACCGCGAGAGTTTTTTTTTCCTTGGCAAGTGATGAGTACAGGCACTGTCTCAGGGGCACAGTGGTGGGTTGTGCGTAAGGGGATATATGCATATGACCTATTCACCCCCGCCCAACATTCGCCCAAATGTCAAAACAATTGAAGGCGGCTGCGGTAGCTGACGTGTCTGGATTTATGCCGATGTGTGTGTTTGTGTGTCGACGGTTATGCCGTCGTTTAGATCGATATCTATCTTGTGCCCTAAAGCATGTCAGTCGCGGGGACGGTGACTTGTGCGTGGATTAGTTTGTAGTGATAGTCGACTTGTGCAGCATCTACCGCACTCTCTCCTCCCTCGCCCACATAAACTTCGTGGCACTAAAGTTAAGAAGACGGGGGGGAGGAGGAGATAGGATCGGGCGCAGGTGGCTGATGCGGCGTGCGCCTACACTCAGGCACGCCATCACACCCTCTCCTAGGCGTGACATTT